TTTTATTCTAACAATATCAAAATAAACTAGTTCCAAACGTGCGATGTATTTTTTTTTACAATGATATAAAATGTTACTGTCGAAGAGAGATCGTTAGTATGTTCCAGTATGTCAGACTACACGGATTACTTGAGGGAGCTCTACTACACTCCCGGTAAACCGGGGGCATATGCAGGGCCTGAAAAATTATATCAGGCTGTTACAAAGGAAGGCAAATACAAGATTGGTAGACGAAGGATAAGACAGTTTTTAAACAATGAAGATTCTTATAGTCTGTATAAACCCATTCGTAAAACATTTCCGCGTTCAAAGGTGATAGTGAACACGATCGATTCTATGTGGGATGGTGACTTGGCAGACGTTTCAAACATCGCATCCCATAACGATGGTTATAAATTCTTATTAGTGCTTATTGACATATTTAGCCGATATTTATTTATAATCCCCTTAAAAAATAAACATCATCAAAACATTGTTGACGGTTTAAAATCAGTTTTCCAAAGAGGACGAAAACCTAAGACCCTTAGAACAGATAAGGGTAGTGAATTTAAAAATCGTTGGGTAAAGACATTTCTGAAGAAAGAGGGAATAAACGTCATGTACACTCAAAATGAAACAAAAGCAAACTATGCCGAGAGGGTTATTCGTACCATGAAGAACCTAATGTATCGTTATTTTATGAAGAACCGAACTTACCGCTTTGTGAATGTCTTGCAAGACTTGGTGAAAAGTTACAACAATAGACCTCACAGATCATTAGGGGGGAATGCTCCAGCCAATGTTAAGCAAGAGAATGCCGATGAAATAAGACTAGCGGCTTATCTGTCGGGGAAAACAAAACCAGACCTGGCAAAAAACGATCTGAACCAGCCTAAAAACTCAAGCAAAAAAAAAGTGCAAAAAAGAGTAAAACCCTTTTTCAAATTAAAAATTGGAGATAATGTCAGAATATCACAGCTAAAACACCCTTTCCAAAGAGACTACCAGCAGAAATGGACAGAAGAGTTTTTTAAAGTGAGTGAAAGATACAAAAGAGGTCAAGTACCTGTGTACAAAGTAAAAGATTTGGCAGATGACCCTATAGAAGGTACTTTCTACGAGTCTGAGCTTCAAAAAGTCGTAAAGTCAGAAGATGTTTCTTATAGAGTGGAGAAAATACTTAAAAGAAGGCGTCGTGGTACAACCAATGAAGTTTATGTTAAATGGGAAGGATGGCCCAAGAAATTTAATTCATGGATTCCAGAGAGTTCTCTCGAAAAACAATAAAAGCCACCATTTTCTGCAATTTCTCTCTATTCAAGATGAGCGTTCGAATGGTTTTGACGTCTACGGACAGCTCTGAATATTTTGAAAATAAACCCCATTGCTTCCGAGTTCAATTAAATAAACAGATTCAATTTGACGGATATTGGACTGTTGCCTTGACAGAATTTTCTACAGAGAGCTGGATTTCATCTAAGAAGAAATCAGAATTGTTTGTGTGTTGCGATATTTGTGAGGAAACAATTATTGGGGGAAAGAGGCACCCCTCCTAAGACGCATATACCTGGGAGAGAAACCAGAAAATATCACTTACACACTACCTTATTACATTCCAGTTAAAATTGGCCAATTACAGCAGATTGCTATATATATAACGGACAGAGAAGGAAATTTAGTTTCATTTTTAAACGGACCGGTGACTGTAACACTTCATTTCAAAAAGTTTCCTTACGTTTTATGATGAATAGTCAGACCTACATCAGCGATCCCAAAATATGGGAAGCTTTCTACAAGAACATGGCAGAGAAAAAATTCAACCCTTACAAATACAAACCAAAACAAATTGGGAGAGGTGTGAGAAGTTACAAGTCTTATGTCATTCCACTGAGGCCTCACTCACAGTTAGAATCAGTAGAAAACAGCACTCAAGTGACCCCTGTAGCTGCCGTGGAGGAAAGAGCTAAAGTGGAACATGCCAAGGATGTAAAAGAGGGAGCTCCATTTGTCAAAGTGCAGGGAAGTATAAAAAGGCCACGTACAGAATCTTCTGTCATTCCTTCAAAGAAATTGAAGCCAACAACATCTCAAACTCCGAGGAGAAAACAGGCATCTAAACCCAAACAAAGAAAGACCACCGGAGAAAAGAAAAAGACGTCTGTTAAGAAACAGCGACGAGTGCCAAGCAAGAAAACACAGTCTAGAAAAAAGAAAGAATTTAATATTGACAGCTACAGAAGTATCTTCAAGCTGTAAAAATGGCATTTTTAAGCAGTGATAATAAAGACATAGCACAACCAATGGAACTCTCTCTTTTTGCATCCCCCACAAACCAAGTAGCGGTCGAGAAAGTGTATTTTACAGAAGCAAGACCAATTTCTAGCATAGGAGTGTCTGACACACCCATTGAGATCGTAGTGTCAGGCTCAGGAGCAGAATACATTGATTTAAAAAGAAGTAAACTATACGTAAAAGCCCGAATTCTGAAAGCAGATGGATCGGCACTGGCAGCAAACGAAGAAACTGGTGTAGTGAACTTACCTCTACAAAGCATGTTCTCCCAAATGGATGTCTACTTGAACAACAAATTGGTCTCTTTCAATACCAATAACTACCCGTGGAAGGCTTATCTCAAAACAATTTTGTTCAGCGGGAAAGACGAACTCAATTCACAAAAACAATCTGAGCTGTTCTTTAAAGACGAGGGAAATCTTGCCGACGGTAATGCATACAATGGAGGCAATGCCGGTCTGGTCCTGCGGTATGGTTACACTCAGGAAAGTAAAGTCTTTGAGCTGGAAGGGAACCTGATGGAAGATATCTTTGATATAGATAAATACTTGATAAACGGAGTAGACATCTACAGTACCGACCAGACACAACCTAACAGAAAGCGAACCCAGAGCGCACCCCGGGTTCGCTTTCTGGGTTCGCTTGGGGTTCGCTATAGCGGACCCCGAGCGAACCCGGAGCGGACCCCGGGCGAACCCGCAGCGGACCCAGAGCGAACCCAGAAAGCGAACCCCAAATTCAGTAGCGAACCCAGAAAGCGAACGCGCGTTCGGTGTTGCGTAACGGAGCTGTCAATCAGGATTAGCGATAAAACGTGTTAACCAATCAGCGCCTCGACCAATCCAGTTTGTTATTCGATGTAAATAAAACATTGTACAAGCAAAGTATATTAATGTAAAGTGTGAAACTGTTATTAACATGATTAAAAAAATTATTTATATCTTAATTATCCAGGTAGCATGTTATTTTTACACATTTATTTTCTGTATTTTTTATTTTTAAAATCCATTAACATTTCGTAAAAAGGTACTTTCGTGTATAAAAGAAAAAAAGGAAATAATGGTTATTACAATTGTTACTAAAAAATGAAAAAAATAAAAGGTTTTTGACAAATCAATGCATTTCATCATTTCAAGTTACTGTACAAGATTATGTATAATTATGTACATGTACGTGCTTTTTATTCAATTACTTTATAATTCTAATTTCCATCTCGTCTAAATCCAGATCAACATTAAAATTACTGATCTTCTTAATTGAAAATGAAAAAAAAATTAAAAGTACATGTATGTCCGATCGTAAACAACTATGGTATTATTTTGAATTATCTTCTACAAGAAAAATAATGTAAAGCTTTAATAAGCTTGTTTGTTTGTTTTTTTTTACCTGAAATAAAAGAGGAAAAAATGAAGCGCGATTTACATAATTGAACGAACTAATTATCGGTAGTAAATAAGCAATATAGTAAGTCGTACAGTATTGTATTCTCTAAAAATAGCGTAACTTTTATAATAAAGCCTATTTAAGATATTTAACGATTTTTTTTCTCTGATGTTTATTATATTAACTGCTAATTGTGGTCTTGATTGTTTTATATCAATAAATCAAAAATGTACATGAAAAAAAATTCCGAATACTTACATTTAAATATTTAGTCGGCAAACGTACACGACATGATTGTCGGGGTTACTTTTAATCCCTGATGCTAATTATTATTTTTTTTAATATAATTTCGGCAAATGAAGGAATAAAAAATGGCTGATTTTTGAAATTCATAAATGGAAAGATGGATAAAGTTTTGAATCATTTTAGGCCATTTTTAATTAAAAATCTTACACCCGCTTACTGCATATAATAAAATCCAATTAAATCAAAACTCACGGCCCATCTATATCATGTGATAGAACAAGCAGCATTCAATCATAAATTACATCTTTAAGTATCAAAAAGATTAATTAAAAAAAAAAACAATTTTCCAAAGTCGGAGAATTACATAAATAATTATTTGTAATCTAAAATAACTACATGTATTAAGTCTTATTTACATGTACATGTAGTTTCAAAAATATCCATTTCTAAATGTTTTTTTTTTTTCAGTTTTCCAAAGTCGATGAATTTCACCAATAATTATTTTTAATCTAAAATATCTATTAATTAAGCCTAATTTCGTTCTAAAAAATATCCACTCCTATATACTTTTAACTATTTTGCGTAAAAAATCGCGCGTTTGCGTTAACAATCATGAATGGTCGTGTAACGTGAAGAATCGTGTACGTGAAGGATCGTTCGTGTAACAGGTTTAATCGTGCGGAATCGTTCGTGTATATGTTTTCAACAATAACGTTGCAACCACTGTACATGCTTATGTATCGATCGCCACAAAAACAATAATGATCGATTTCACTACTGTATTTGGAATATACAAGGGGCGGGGCTTACTCGCGGCAAGATTAAAGCGGGGTCCGCTTCACGCTTGAGTGCGTAAAGCGAACCCAGAAAGCGAACGCCGGGTTCGCTCTAGCGGACCCAGAGCTGACCCCGAGCGAACGCAGAGCGAACCCGAAGCGAACCCAGAGCGCACCCAAAATTTCTGAAAGCGGACCCGTAGCGGACCCCGAGCGAACCCAGAAAGCGAACCCGGGGTGCGCTTTGGGTTCGCTCTGGTGTTAGGTTGTGTCTGGTCGGTACTGTACATCAAACTCTTTAGATCCAGTGCCCCTTTTGTCATCATGTCTGCCGCTTCTACACCAGCCTACAAGTTAGAATTACAAGACGTCGTGTATAAAGTGGCCAAAGTACGTGTTGATCCAGGTGTTCTGCTGAACCATAGTAAACAGATCGAATCCACCCCTGTAAAGTATACCATATCAAGAAATGAACTAAAAATGAATACCATACCCAAAGGATCTACCGAGTTTTACTGGGACAATATATTTCCACAGGCAGTACCCGATCGAATCGTGGTGGCTCTGGTGGACCAGAAAGCTGTGAATGGGGATTACACAGCCAACCCCTTTAATTTCGATCATATGGGATTAACAGATATCGGGATATACGTCAACGGAGAAAGCGTACCTGGAAGACCACTGAAGACGGACTTTACGGCAGGACATTATTCAGCCGCCTATGCTCGTTTATTTGAAGCCTCTGGGAAATGGAACAACGATGCTGGACTGATTATCTCTCGTGATAATTTTGGAAATGGATACTCACTTTTTGTGTTTACGATAGATCCTTGTGGATTTGGAGAAGAGTATTTAAACCTGATTCGTAGGGGAAACACCAGACTGGAATTGAAATTCAAACAAGCAACAACCAAAGCTGTCAATGCCATTGTATTTGCAACTTTTTCATCCCTACTTGAGGTTGACAAATCACGTGACATTAACTACATTCAACCAAGAATTCAACGCATCTTTTAAATATGGTGAAGACAAATCCATGCTTAAGACGTTACGTCAAAGGTGTATTTGCTAGTAATATATTGCCTCAAAGGGTTACAGAATTTCCAAGCGCCTTTATCGTCAATACACAACCTTTACCATTACCCGGAGAACACTGGGTGACAATCATCGTGTACAGTCCATTGCAAGCAGAGTTCTTCGACAGCCTTGGAAAATCCCCAGCTGATTACAGTCAAGATATACAAAACTTTGTGAAAATGAACAGTGTTGATTGTCGTTTCAAATCCATTCGACTTCAACCTCGTAATTCCGACTTATGTGGACTTTATGTATTAGTATTTCTAATTGCAAGATTGTGTTTAAAAAACTCGTTCAGTCATGTGTATGATTTATTTTCTAATGACATTCAATCTAATGATGGTTTTGTAAAAAGTTTTATGCATGAATATTTTATGTATCATTAAAAATCATGAAAAGTATATACAGGAGTTATTTTATAATTGAATAAATATTTATATGTGTGTGACATAGCACCTAACTTCATTTTGAAAAAGTCTGGCGACTGAGAAACATGGAAACAGAGAGTATGAATAAATGGTGGAACAGCCGTTCCTTGCTACCTTTTTCTGCACCTACCACCATTTTAATATGTGGTAGTACACAAAGCGGAAAAACGCATTTTACTAAAAAACTTTTACAAAACGCTAATGGTATGTTTTCCATACCTGTGGATAGAATAGTGTATGCTTATTCTGAACATCAACCTATGTTTGAGGAAATGGTGCAGACGATACCAAACTTATCATTACACCAAGGATTGCCTTCTAAAGAAGACATAGAACAGTACACCGAGGGTATGGATCACACCATACTGGTACTGGATGATCTCATGTTACAAGTTGCACAATCTCAGGACTGGGTACATCTGTTCACGGTGACATCTCATCACAGAAACGTGACCACAGTGATGTTGTCCCAGAACCTATATCCTCCGGGAAAATATGCAAGGACCATTTCATTGAACTGCCTCAATATCATTTTGTTTAAGAATTACCGTGATTCTAGACAGATCATCACTTTTGGATCTCAGATATTACCAGGACAGGTCCCCTTTTTCAAAGCGGCATACGAATCCGCAACTCGACCAAATTTCGGTTACTTGCATGTTTGTTTAGAACCAACACAAAACAGAGAGTATCAACTAAGGTCTCGTATCCTCCCGGGTGAGGAGATGATCATTTACCAACCTATATAAATAAGAATGATTTTGTTTTCTCTACTCATTATTTAAACATGAAGCAAACGGTGAAGAAACACGAGGCTTTTTTAAAATTTCTCTTGTATGCTGACAGTGCACAGCAAAAAGTACTCGTTAAAGCCTTGACCAGTGAACAGTATGATGTGCTTAGTGAAATAGCACTTAACATTTATACGGGGACTTATCCTTTGCCTAAAAAGTATATAAACCAACTGAAACCTTACGAATCACACATTCGATCTCTGGGATCCAGAGAAGTCAGCAACCGAGAGAAACGTCGGATATTACTCAAACATACTTCTTTAATATCACTTTTAATAACACCTATTGTGCAACATTTTCAAAGAAAATGGCGAGGGAAATGATACTTGTGCCGAAACTGAAATATGAACATTTACTTCAAAAATTGGACTATGCCAAGGATCACTCGACTCAAGCTATATCCGAGACCGTCCAGACCTCGAAGCAAACCCCCGAAGACCGAAGCCAGAATTGCGGCGACCAAGTGGATGACACCCACCTGTTACAAACTGGAACTGGTTATGTCAGTAAGAAAAAAGTCGGAAGACCTCCTGGAATCATTAATGTTCGACGGAAGAAGAAAAAAATTCCCTGGCTTACCTATTAACAATGTTATAACAATGAACAAAAGTGTAATGTTGATCATTTATTTGTAAATGTCATTCAATAAAAAGATAAAAACATTAAGAACTTTTTTTTCACAATTAAAATCCAAAGGGCAACGTGTCTAAGTTGGGAAGAATTCTCCTTTTGGTGTACACCATTTTATAATTTTTAGTTTCTACTCTGTTTAGCAATTTCCTCTTTCTACTGTCTCTCGATATTTTACAGGGGTTGACAATTTCGATTTGTCGGTCGTGTGAGGTGCAGATGATGGACTTAATGGCATCGAAATTGATCAGTTTTGAGTTGGCCCAGTTCAGTGTGAATCCCTTAACTTTACATTCTTCTTTCCCCGACAACGTACGATAAGCATAATTCTTAGGACCCCCCGACACAAATTCAACAATGTAACCATCTTGTGGGGCGATCTCGTTAGTTAACTCTCCCAAGTAATTACCAATGGGTAGATAACTTAAGTCGTCCGACTTTTTAGCCTTAAAAATAACACTGTCTGTATCAAAATACAAAACATTCTCGTTTAATTTGTCAAGAACACTGTATAGTTTCAGTCGAGCCCACATGGTGGTAAAAGAGGCTAAGAATATATTGGTTTTGTTATCGAATTGAGTAAACAAAGGGTTGTTACTCCACTCTAAATGGAGTATGTCTCTTGAAACAATGTGAAAATTGTGTGGTACTTTTGTTGGATCTGAAAGCATCTGAAAAAATTTTTCGGCTTCTGCTTCGTGAATAAACATAGACTGTTGCATGCCTAACCTTTGACCAAATTTACCCCAAAAACTATTTAAACAGAGTTTTGCTAAACATCGCAAACCGGGATTTTTTTTAATTTTGTTATAGTCTAATTGTATGCCTTCTTTCTCTTTGTATTCCCTGATGTATTTCCATTTATCTTCTTCTGTAACGCATTCGGCTGGAAATCCCGAAGCCTCCTGTTTGATTTTTAAGAACATATTTACATATTGAGCAAACAATCCTCCCTCACACGACTCGACGTCGTATTTTGACGATTCGGTAAAATGATAGACCTCATAAATGTTTAAAATTTTGTATCCTTTAGACGTTGCCGTTTGAATTTCGGGAGTACACCACGTGCCCGTGATGGTTCTGTCTTCTTCAGAACATGTACATGCATTTTGATTTTCACTGTCCGCACATGTGCGACACAGTGGAAACTTTAATTTTCCATTCGAATTATAAGGAAGTACAGGATGATAAAGTTTTCTAGGGGGGAGAATTTTAATTTTGGCAAGTCCAAAGTACTGTGACAAGTCCTGGAAATTGTCCGTAACAATGGTAGGATGGCCAACGGGGTAGCGACAGTATTTGTTGGTCCATGGATAGAGACTGGTAAAGTCGAAGTACTGTATGGTTTCGTCTTCTGCAGCTTTGTAATGTAGTTTGATGGCATTGGTTCTGCCACCAAAAAAACTGTCACGTGGGTCGAGTCGGTCTTGGAGATCTAGGGTCCACACGAATTGTTGTAATGCCGCATTCTTGTCCAGTTGATATTTAAACTGATGCTCCCAAATGGTAATCAAGTTGTATCCCAGATGTTTAAGTTCTTTTTCTCTGTTTATTGTCATATCGTATAATTCTTTGATTGTTTGATTGGTGGACGGATGTTTGATGAAATTTCGGTCTTCTGGGAAACAGGAGGGACAACCGTGGAACACACAACCTAGTTTAGAGATACAAAAAAAAAAAACAAATTTAATAACATGTATTCGTGGTTAAGTCCAGGTACGCCGCCGCCCCCCCCCCCCTTCCAGTTTAGGGGGGGAAAGGGGGTAAATGTTAGATATAAAAACAGAACTATATTGCCAGGTCTTACCATAAAATTCGTAAATGGTTCCTTTTCCGTTGGGAGTCTGAACAAATCCGTCACATCTATAATTGGTGCCTTGGACTTGATATTCACCTCCGTTGAGAGCGTGAGAAATGCTAATGGGATTTCCCCGTTGACGGCTTTTTTCCATCAACCATTCTAACCACTGAATGGAAATCTTGCTGTAATTGTCGCGTTTCGTATAACCTTGAGAGGGCACTACTGCTATGGGACTCTTGAAATGTCGTCTTCCTATCTGTATATTTTCGTCCTTTCTTAAGTCAACTAATGACGTCCACGAATCATCGATTTTGACCACTTCTATACCCTCAAGCGTATGGACATCATACCAAGAACATTCCCCGTCTTTGGTGATTTCTATCTTGTACTTTCCTTTCAAAAATAGAGATTTGAATATCCCCATGCACACGCTTGCAATGGTGACGTAATCAAATGGGTCGATTCCAAACGTGGTTCTTTTCTTGACGGTTCCGTCTGCTTGTGTAATGTGTTCTTTGATGGTCGTCACCTTAATCATTAATTTTCTAAATTCCAGACAGCCCCGTCTCAGTATATCAACGTCCGAGCGACAATATTGCAACATTTCTTCTCGAAAATTAAAGCTTTCGTTCTGTTTCGTTGCGTGCCATTCTGCAAGCTTTTTCCGCTCCCCAGTCGACATGGCATCGTATCCATAATATTTTAATTCTGGATATGGCCCCACATAATTTTGATGGGCTTTGGTGTTAAAAAAATGGGGAAAGTAACCTTTGCAGAGTTCCTGTAGACCAAAAGCTTCTGGTATTTTAGCTAGTTTCATGGGAAGGAAATTGAGGGAATCCACAAAAGTTAAATTCAGTTTTTGGGCAATGTGCATGTACATGATTTTGGAACCATTGTATATGATCTTGCTAGGTCGAATGGAGTGTCGTTCGATGAGAACTTCTAAAACGGGGTACAAGTCAAAACTTTTGGCATTTTGTGCAACTAAAATCGAGTCTCTGCAGTGTTTACTGGTGACGTAAGCACAAAACTGCTCGGCGGCGCTGTCACCAGAAAACACGAGTTCCCTTTTCCCACAAGTGTCGGTACAAGGGGAATACAAATATTCTCCTTTTCGGGTCCGGGAACATTTTCCACATCGTGTTCCACAATGATGACAGGTAGCACCGTCCACTAGTTCCTCTTTTTCGCATTTGTGACAAGTGGTTTGTAGTACGGCAAAGTTGACGTTGTGTTGTTGTAGACCGCAGGACGGATCACGACAGTTCTGACAGAGTCTGCAGT